ACTCTGTATTAATTGAGTCAGTATACCTGTAATGAAGATTAAGTCATTACACGTGTGGTTTTATCTATAGGATACCCAATTGAACTAAGGTTGGGGAGAATGACCTTCCATGTAAATATTTTATTTATTTTACTTAAATTTTGCTGCATTTCTGAAAGATAGTATTAATACCATTATTTATAGATAAGAAATTTGAGGTTGACAATTATTCAATACCCAGCCCAAGGTTATGTACCAATACTTCATTATAGAGCTTGGATTCTAAGCCATGTCAGCCCAGACCCAAAGCCCATGCTCTATGTCCTCCATCACTTCCTCTACAAATTTTTTAGGTAAGTCAGAATTTTTTTTTTTTTACCAATCTAATTAGAATCTGAAGATTAATCTCTGTGTGTAGCATTTATCTATAATTTTAGTTAAAAATTATAATGAATCAAATAAATCAACCTAATATTTAGTTTTTCCAAAACACTATTGCTTTTACCCAAGCATTCTCAATTAACTGGAGCTACAGAGCCAGAACGACCACACAGTTTCATTAACATCAGTTGGCTCTCACTCTCCTCCACGAGACCTGACTTTATTAATAGCCTCTCAGTGTCCTATTTGCCCTAGATTATGAAAATGGACTCACACCTCCAGCAGCCTTTGTTGAGATGTATAACACCTCTCAGAGCTCCCAAAGGCTACCCTGGAATGTTTGATTAGCTCCAGAGAGAAGAGCCCTGTCTAAAGCAGCTATTCTTCTCAGGGATGGAGGAAACAGTTTCCTTAGAAACAGGGATTACAAAAGAGCTCTTAGAATAGCTACTCCTAAACTCAGGTTTCCTTCAGTCCCAGAACTCAGATAGTCTTTCAAGTAGAGATGTAATATGAATAGCAAGCCCAGCTGGACTTATGTAATGACATGAAGAGAGATGGCAAGACCATTGCCAGCACAGACAAAGTATTCAGGACTCAGCAAAAGGCTTGGCACAGAGATGGCATTCAGCAAATACTCACTCAGTGCTTGAATGGATATATGATTTACTTGAATTTGAATGACATAGTAAAAGGAATTGAAACAGAAACCAAAGGATCTGGGCCTAAACTTGACTCTGTCATTTATTACTATCATGGCTTTGGGCAATTTAAATATTTTCCCTAGTTTCTGTTTTTCCATCATTTCAATATAAGTGATGAGAGTTTTCCAACAGTTCAATCAAACAAGATTGAATATGAAAGGGCCTTCTAAATTTCAAATCCCTATATAAACATAATACGGCATATTTATGTTATAGAAAATCTCAAAATAATTATATTTCCATAGCTACAAACAATTGTCTGTGACACTTAGCATACTGTTCTGTAATTGGTAACTTATTTTTTGTCTACACCACCAAACTGTGAACACTTTGAGGACAGAAATAATGTCTTTATTTCTGAATATAACACAAAGCTCTGCCTATTATGGTCAATAAATGCTTGCTGAATTAATAAACTCGATGAATAAAATACAAGAATGTTTTCAGATTTTTTTGCTATGTTCATATCTTTTAGCTCAACAAATTTACGAAAGCATTAAAAAAAGAGTTAGATTGGTAATTAAGTACAATTCCATTTGAACAGGATATTTTTTTGTTCACTGTTACATTGTCTCTGACCTGAGACTTGAAGGAAGTTATGTTTATCTACAGGGAAAAGGCTGCACTGCTACTCACCCCAATTGGGATGTAAGTTACATGAAGTCAGAAACTAGGTCTTTTTTGCCTATATTCCCAGCACCAGAGAGCAGTTTCTAGCAGGTAATAGTATACAGTAGACACTCAAACACCTTACTTATCCTCTGTTTCCTAGAAATTATTTGTGGAATGAATAGATGAATAACACATGAAATTGGGAAGATAAAATCTTGACGAAGAAATTTAAAATTCACTTAAACACAAAAATCATTCACTTTTCAAATAAGGATAATTTTTACATACCTTGCTGATTTCAAATCCAAAGACTTCTTCAAAATATGCTGGCTGACTAATAAGCAATAAATAAAAAGTCCAGCTTCTGCAGAAGTTTGCAACGATTATTGCATAGACTGGCATAGATGTAAAAAATTTCCTCCATGGAGTCTTGAATTTCTGAAATCCCAAAAGTAGAGTTATTCTGACCATTTTAAATATTTTCTAACTTAAATGAAAATAATAAGTGCTTTGCATTTCCAGGATGTATATGATGGGGCATGAGTAGAGGGTAGAAAGCAGGTAGTGAATCATTAATTACAACCATCCAGTTAATCTTAGTTACATGAATAATCATTGGAAGACAAAAAATAAGATATCGACCTCTGTTACTAATTAAATTGCT